TACAAGACAAAATAGTCTCCCATTTAACAGTTACTACAAATGTTGCCCTATGACAATGGTTAACAATCTCACAACACATCAACAATATCCTTACTCAACTTTGTGTTCCCTATCGTCAGGTTCCTACCCCCTTCTGCCTTCTGGGCCTTGTCACTGGACTCCTGTACCTCGTTAGTCTCATTTGGTTTTACGGGGCTGTCCATTCCCAGGCTGAACAGTGAACCTCGAAGGTAACTTCACCACTGAGCTAAAAGGGTGTCTGGGGGCCATACTCTCGGGGTTTCTCCAGTCTCCTTTAGGCCAGTAAATCTGGTCTTGAGGGTCTTCCTCTTTTTTGCTGACCCTCTACTTTACCAAGCATGATGTCCTTCTTCAGAGACTGATCCCTCCTGATAACATGTCCAAAGTATGGGAGACGAAGTTTCACCATCCTTGCTTCTGAGGAGCATTCTGGCTGTACTTCTTCTAAGAAAAATTTGTTCTTTCTTCTGGCAGTCCATAGCATATTTAATATTATTCGCCAATACCACAATAGAAAGGCTTCAATTCTTCTTTGGTTTTCCTTATTCATCGTCCAGCTTTCACATGCATATGACACGATTGAAAACACCATGGCTTGGGTCAGGTGCATCTTAGTCTTCAAGGTGACATCTTTGCTTTTCAATACTTTAAAGAGATCTCTTGCAGCAGATTTGGCCAATGCAATGTGTCATTTGATTTCTTGACTGCTGCTTTTATGGGTGTTGATTGTGAATCCAAGTAAAATGAAGTCCTTGACATCTTGAATATTTTCTCCATTTATCATGATGTTCCTTACTGGTCCAGTTGTGAGGATTTTTGTTTTCTTTATGTTGAGATGTAATCCATACTGAAAGCTGTAATCTTGGATTTTCATCAGTAAGTACTTCAAATCCTCTTCATTTTCAGTGAGCAAGGTTATGTCATCTGCATATCACAGGTTGTTAATGAGTCTTCTTCCAATCCTGATGCCGCGTTCTTCTTCATATTTACCAGAATACTAGTACTCAAAGGGACCTCTGGCCTTTTACCTGGAAAACTGTGAACTGGTTAAAGAAAATAACTAGACTTTTTGAAAATTGGACACTGGCCATGAACTAAAACTAATCCCAAAATCTCACTATGGTTTGTCAAACAAAGTAGTGGCTTCTGAGGCCGGATGATAAATGAAGAATTCGACTTACTCTGTCTCACAAAGTATACAGTAAGTCAGCAGTTATATCCTCTTATTATTTCCTAATACCTGGAATGCGTAGTTGGAAAAGAGATAGTTGGTAATTGACAGTATACCCACATCGCCATTATAATCTGTAAATGATGACTATTATGGTAGAATGTGCCAAGCAAAATCTTCTGAAAACATTCCTGCCTGTAAAAATATTTTTTAATAAACACCAACGCATCCCTGGAGGAATCACAGAAATTAGTGATGCCACCAATGTTAGAAGGATCAGAGGTTGTAATTTCTATTACATTCTCATTTAATGTATGTGTTGGACTGTGCAGAAGAAAATTAAATATTGGAGAACGAATGAGGATTATTGTAATCTTAATCAGGTAGTGACTCCAAATGCTTCTGCTAAGCAGGATGTGATCTCTTTTTGGCAACTGCTACAAAGTCTTTGATATGACAAATGATTTTTCTCCAAAAGCAGATAATGAGAGCCAGTTGCTTTCATCTGGCAGGGACAGTTGAACGTTTTCATTCCTCCAGCTATTCCTATAGTGTTATAAATTCCTGATATTTTGTATTGAATATTTTACTGCTGAAAATTCATGCAGGAGATTCCATTTTCTACGCTGAACCCAAGATATAAAACCAGAGAGGTTGAAAATTGCAAAAAGAAACACAGAAGTAGTCGTTGATTATAATGTATAAAAATTAAACTAATTGAACTCAAGAAATAAGGTAAATTGCAGATTATCTTTCTATTAGCAGATAAAAATATAGTAATTTATGTCTTTAAGGTTTTCAGGTCAGTTGCTTATAAGTCATTCTCTAATCTTGTTACAAAGGATCCTATTATGTAGAGAATGTTTCTCAGCTGAAAAGATTTCTTAGGGCCTGCTTTGTGTCCTTGTTTCTAAGACTGTAGATAAAGGGGTTCAGCATGGGTGTGACAACAGTGTACATCACTGAGACTATTGCACTTTCCTTGGAGTTTTGGGTAACACTAGAACTAAGATACACTCCAACACTTGTACCATAAAATAAGGAAACTACTAAGAGGTGAGACCCACAAGTGGAAAATGCTTTATACTTGCCCCCAGCTGATGAAATTCTCAAAATGGAGGATACAATCTTTGAATAAGATAAAAAGATACCAGTGGGTGAAATAATAACCAGGATTGCAGATGTAAAATACATCACTAAGTCATTGAGGAAGGTGTCAGAACAAGAAAGTTGGACTACCTGATTAAGCTCACAGAAAAAGTGGGGTATTTCCAACTCTGTACAAAAAGACAGTTGCAAAACCATTAAGACAAGTAATAGAGAATCCAGAACACTCAATAACCAAGATACCAAAAGCAGAAGGCCACAGAACTTGGGATTCATGATGACAGTATAGTGGAGGGGGTGACAGATGGCCACAAATCGGTCATAGGCCATCACTGTCAAAAGGAAGTTGTCTAATACTCCAAAGAGCATGAAAAAGTACATCTGTATGAGGCAACCTTCATAGGTTATAACTTTGCTCTGCATCTGGATGTTCAACAGCATCTTTGGGACAGTGGTGGAGGTGAAACAGATGTCTGTGAAAGAGAGGTTGGAGAGGAAGAAGTACATGGGTGTGTGGAGGTGGGAGTCAGTGATAATGGCTAGGATGATGAGCAGGTTCCCAATAAAGGTGATCAGGTACATGGACAGGAACAGCCCAAAGAGGAGGGGCCGCATTTCAGCCTCTTCTGAGAGTCCCAGTAGGAAGAATGCTGAAACATGTGTATAGTTTCTTGATTCCATGTAGCTGAAAAAAACTGCAGGAAAATAAAAAGGGCAAGACAAACTTAACCACAAGCATTGTCAACAATGTAAGAGAAATGCTGCTTTTCATATTTTAAATATGTTTCCTTAATTAATTCCTATATATTATCTATGAAGCCCTGGTGGAACAGTGGTTAAGAGCTCGGCTGCTAACCAAAATGTCAGCAGTTTGAATCCACCTGCTGCTCCTTGGAAACCCTATAGGGACATTCTACTCTGTCCTATAGGGTTACTACAGTGCTAGTGCCCTGTAGCTAACTATTTCAGGGAATCCCAAAGGCTCTATCTTCTCTTTGATGTTGAAACTGACTAGCCAGTCTTGCCTCTAATTCCAAACTTTTTCCCTAGTTAATATTTTCCTCTACAAATACCCTGAGAATTTTTCATTCAACAAATATTTTTGACCAATTATTTTTGTGCCATCATTTTTTGAAGTCACTGGGAAACAGTCAAGAAATTAATTTTAAAATTATTTGTCCTTAACAAGTTCTATTCTAAGATATATGTATGTTTGGAGGCCTGGTGACACAAAGGTTAAGAGCTCAGCTGCTAACTAAAAGGTCTGCAGTTCAAATCCACCAGCCTCTCCTTGGAAATCCTATGGGGAAGTTCTACTCTGTCCTATAGGTTCGCTATGAGTCAGACTCGACTTGACGGCAACAGGTTTGGTTTTGAGTTTATATGTGTGTTTAGGGGCAATAGAAAGAATATCAATAAACCAATAAGTGATATTTCAAGTTAAGTAAAATAATGCAGGATATGGAAATTATAGAGTGAAGAGGAAATCTTTCTTTTGTATAGTTACCTCAAATAAATAGCTATTGGGAAGAAAATATGAAGACAGTGAGGATGTGAGCCAAGCAGATATCTAGGAAAAAAGGATTCAGGGCAGAGAAATAGCCAGTGGAATGTTCCCAAGACAAGACCATTCCTGGCATCATGATGGAACAGCAAGGAAGATGGTGTCACCGGCTTGGCTAACACAATGGGGATAGATTTTGGTGGTAAGATCAGAAAGGTAACAGGAGGCCAGAGCATCCTGCTGTGGAAATCCCTAAGACTTGGGAGCCCACAGTTCAGTTGCCGTTCTTTATATTTGTATATTATTGTATATTTTATAGATAATGTATATAAATTAAACATAATTTATCCCTTCATAAACTACACTTTCTCCTCTTCAAATTCCATATAGTTTAAATTCTGTATTTTGGATTGTAGAAGATAGCTTCAGCTTGGGATATCTGATCAACCACTGTCCTCTTCACTGATAAGTTTCCCTATCCCTCCCCCGTCCACACACACAGAGAGAGAAATAGACAGAGAGCGAATCATGATTGCAGTATTGTGTACTTCAGAACTGGAGGTGTAGCTGATTGGGCCAGTAGAGGACACCCTACAAGATGAACCAATAAGCTCCATTCTTCTCTAAGAATTGAGATAGGAAATTCAGAGATTGTGGGTAGTTTGTCATGGCTGCAGTGATCTCAAGGACCTGACAGCTCTGGGGCAGGGATTGGTGTGGTGATCTTCTCCCATGAGCATGGACAGGGAGAGAAAGCCATATACACAGAGGGAGAGAAGAATTAAATAGACATAAAGGGAGAAAAATAGATAAAAGACTGCATAGAATTTAAAAAAGGTGTAAAGGATAATGAACTTCCTTGGATGCTGGCAGCATTATAGTCTCTAGTCATAGTCCCCATGTTGCCCAGAAAAAATAATAGTAGAATTACCTAACTAGATAAATGTTTTCAATCTTTATGACATAAAAGGATATACATATTAATTCCATGAAGATAACTTAAAATATATATCACAAAGGTGAAAATACATATAGAAAATTGATAAAGAATTAAACCAAAAGATTACCATTTTTTTTCCAAAATCTCATGAGCTTGGGAAATGTTTTGGTATATGTAAGAGTTATTTTAAAAAATGTTAGTGAAGTGCATGTGAATTCTACAAAATATTTAAGAAAGAAACAATATCAATTCTGCACAATCTCTTCCAGAATATTGAAACATAGGAAATACTTCCTAACTCACTCTATGAGACCAGCATTACAGTATTAGCAAAACTAAATAAAAAATTACATGTAGGAAAAATTAGAGACCAATATTACTCATGAACAAAGATACAAAAATCCTAAACAAAATCCCAGCAAATCACATCCAATGTATACGAAAAGAATGATACACTATGACTAAATGGGATTAATTCTATGTATGCATTTGGTTTAATATCCAAAAATCAGTCATGTAAACCACCACATCAACAGGAAAAGAAGAAAACTCATACTATCATATCAACTGATACAGAAAAAGCACATGACAAAATGTAATACCCATTAATGATTTTAAAAAAATCTCAGCAAACTAGAAATAAAAGAGAACTTCCTCAACTTGATAAAGAACAATTTACCAAAAAAGTACGGCTGATATCATATTTAATGGTGATAAATCTAATGCTTTCTCCAAGATCAGGAACAAGATAAGGTTGTCCTCTGTCAAGGATTGAATTGTGTCCCCCAAAAATATCTGCCAACCTGGCTAGGTAATTATTCCCAGTATTGTATGACTGTGTACCGTTTTGTAATCTAATGTGATTTCCTTATGTGTTGTAAACTCTATCACTATGATGAGGTTATACTGATGAGGTCTACAAGATTGGGTAGTGTCTTAAGCCAATCTCTTTTGCGATATATAAGAGAGAAGCGAGCAGAGACACATGGGAAACTCACACCACCAAGAGAACACTGCCAGGAGCAGAGCGCGTCCTTTGGACTTGAGGTTCCTATGCAGAGAAGCTCCCAGACCAAAGGAAGATTGATGACACAGACCTTCCTCCTGAGCCGACAGAGAAAGTGTTCCCCTGGAGCTGACCCCCTAAATTTGGACTTGTAGCCTACTGGACTGTGAGAGAATAAACTTCCCCTTGTTAAAGTCATCCACTTGTATTTCTGTTAGAGCAGCACTAGATGACTAAGACATCCTCTTTCACCACTCTTAGTCAACATCATACTAGAAGTCCTAGCTAATTCAATAAAACATAAAAAGAAAATAAGAAGTGTACAGTGAGAAATAAAACTGTCTTTGTTCACAGGTAACACGATTGTCTACTTATAAAATCCAATAAATTCAACAAAAAGCTCCTGAACTAACAAAAGAGTATAGTAAGCTCTCAAGATACAAGATAAATATGCAAACATGATTGCTTTACTGTACACAAACAATTGGAATTAGAATTTTTAAATGCCATTTATAATAGTACCATCAAAATGAAATACTTAGGTATAAATCTAAAATATGTGGAAAATTACAAGACTCTGCTGAGAGAAATCAGGAGGAGCTAAATAAATGCAGAGATATTCCATGTTTATGGATCAGAAGACTCATTATAGCTAAGAGGTGAAGTCTCAGTTTGATCTATATAGTCAATGTAATCACAATCAAAATCTCAGTAAGCTATTTTATAGGTATCCACAAACTCATTATAAAGTTAATATGGAAAGACAAAACACTTACAGTAGGTAACACAATACTAAAGAAGAACAAAGCTGGAGGTCTCACACTATCTGATTTCAAGACTTACTGTAAAGCTACAGTAATCAAAATAGTGTAGCATTGGCCAAAGTAGACAGATAAATGGAAGAGAGTACACAACACAGAAATAGACCCACACAAGTATAGTCAATTGATCTTTGACAAAGGAGCAAAGGCAATTGAATGGAGAAAGAAGGGTCTTTTTTTAACAAATAATACTAGATGTCCAAACATTGGACATTCATTAAAAAAAATTAATAAACCTAGACACAGACCTTATGTCAGTCACAAAAATTAACTCAAAATGGATCTTTTATTAAAAGGCAAAATTTAAAACTGTAAAACTTTTAGCAAAACTATAGGAGAAAATTTAGGTGATCTAGAGTTTGATAATGAGTTTTTAGATACAATTCCAAAGGCATGATCCATGAAAGAAAAAATTGATACGTGGACTTTATTAATGTTAAAAAAAAGAAAAAAGAAAAACTTCTGCTCTGTGAAAGATACTGTTAAGAGAATCAAAAGACAAACCAGAGCATGGAAGAAAATATTAGCAAGACATGTATCTGATAAAGGACTTGCATACAAAATATATAAAGAATGCAAAACTCAAAAATAAGTGAGCGAACAACTTAATTAAAATACAAGCAAAATATCTGAAGACACCACCCACGAAGATATACAGATGGCAAATCAGAAAGAAAAGATCCTCAACACCCTTAGTCATTCAAGGATTACAAATTAAAACAATGATATACCACTACATATCTATTAGAATGACAAAAATTTTTTAAAAAAAACTGACATTACCAATTGCTGATGAGGATGTGGAGCAATATGAGCCCTCATTCGTTGCTGATGGGAATGCAAACCTGTTAAACCAACATGCATACTGCCACTTTGGAAGACCATGCTTTACAAACTAAACATAGTTTTACCATATGATCCAGCAATATTAAACCAACTGATTTGAGAACATATATCTACACAAAAACCTGAAGATGAATGTTTATAGCACTTTTGTTTATAATTGCCAAAAACTAGAAGCAACCAAGAAGTTGGCCTTCCATAGGAGAATGGATAAACAAACTGTGATACATTTATACAATGGAATATTGTTCCAGAGATAGAGAAATGAGCTGTTAGAACAAAAAATACATGAATGAATTTTAAATACTTACTGCTAAATTTAAAAAGCCAATGTAAAAAGGTTACATATTGTATAATTCTAATTCTACAACATTATGGAAAAGCAAAACTATAGAGACAAAAATATCAGTGGTTGCCAGGGGTTTGGGTGAAGGAAGAGAAGTTTGAATAGGGGAAACCAAACCCGAAACCCATTGCTGTCGAGGGGATTGTGACTTATAGCGACCCTATAGGACAGAGCAGAACTGTCCCATAGGGTTTCCAAGGAGTGAATGGTGGATTTGAACTGCCGACATTTTGATTAAC